CCCAATGGGAGACCACAGACAGCTGCGCTGCAGCGATTAACGGCAACATCAGTCCATGAATGACGATGCATAAAGCATGCCATTTTTTCATTGTGTGGGTATAGTAAGTAGATGAAAGTTGAAGGACTACGCTTTCAGAGCCACAATTTCCCACACAACGTGGCGAATAGTCTGATTCGAATGCTACACAAGAGCGTTGAGTGCTTAAAGCTATTTTTTGTCGCTGTCTGGGAAAACCATAGTTTAAATGCCAACGCCATATTGCCTCAATCTCTCTTTCTCACTCTCTTTGGCTGACTTTTATTATATCTACCTCTCCGTAAACTGCATTCAGCAAAAGCTTCCAGCAGCCATGTTGCTTTTCTGTCGGAGCGGTTAAGTGAGAGAGCGATGTCCAACTAACATACATACATATGTACATGCATTCAGATGTATGCATAACTACATACATATTTACTAATGTAAATACATACACAACATACACATATGTATGCACATGTATTTTAACATCAAACACAAATAGAAGAACAAAAATCACAAATGTATGTACATATGTATGGACATAAATATTTGTTTGCCAGTCGCTGCTGTGTACTTGCCCTCTTTTCAAATACAATACAAATGATCATACATATGTATGTACATATGTATATATGCATATTTAAATATGTAACTAAACTCATATAAATGCTTGGTTAGGTCTGATTGCGTTTAGATCTTACCACCAGTAATGTACAACATCAACACGCTGCAAACATTCAGCTTCGAAGCAAAAAAACCGTACTTTAAAAGGCAACCACCGCCAAAAGCTATAACCTGGTCGAGGTTAGTGCGTTTGTTGTTGGTGTTGTGTGGAGCTGCTGCGTTTTATTCAGCACAATACACAGACACAACAGCAACGAAGCAGAAATAAATGTGTACATACCAGCAGCAAGAAGCAGCAGTCGCTCAAAGTTTTCAGTTATGTTACGAAGCTCTGGCCCTGCAAACACGAAAAACAAGCACACGCGAGGAGTTTTAGTTGACAATTTCCGTTGTTGCGTCTAAAAATGTCCAATAAGTGCAAATTTTTGTTGTTGTTTATAATGTGCTAGAAACAATAAGCTTTCTGGTACGGGAAATGATTCAAAACTGAAGCAGTTCAGAGAAATTTGCGCAGCGTCTGAATAGAAAGATGTCTGTCAAATTAAGTTTATTAAGTGCGTTTAGTGTTTTTGCCTAACTTGTTTAAATATACATACATATACATAAATACATACAAATGTATATAAGCATAAACGAAGAAGTTGCTACTTTTATGTCTCGCGCGCTTTTTTTTTATCATTTACGCTCTGCCATCGTTCTGTGAGCGAAAAGAGAGGAACTCAGCAAATGAGCTGAATACGAACCGCTTAGCTGTTGGGCCGTTCGCGCGCTGAATCACTTAGAGAGTAGCGTGTGCTCTCTTATTGCTGCATACCACCGTTTACACGTCGTCGTGTGCCCATTTTAAATAAATTTCGGTCGTTGTTTAATGCAATAGCAAATAACAACAGTTTACAAAAAAGAAACATTAGTTGTTGAAATATGAGAAATATGTGAACCAAGTTAACATGTGAAAGCAGTAAAAAAAATGTTCTCAAAAAACTGCCAAAAATATTCAATAGAAGGAATGCATACATACATAACTGTGCTGAGATATGGCAATTTTTGAATTTGTATAAAAAATAAAAGTAAAACTAAGCTGGAGTAATTACGGGCGGAAATACGTAATAAAACATTTTGTTACTTGAATGTGAAAATTTAAATGAATATAATTAAAAAGTTGGCTCGGTTAGGCCTTTTTTAGTGTTGCAACCCCCCGTTGAGTGTGCCGATGACCCCTGGCAAATATCCGAGTGTGTATCCAGTAAAATTGTACTGGTATAGTTTGTTGTAATATCCAGTATCTTCCTTAAGGGAGGTAATTTCTCCTACGCCGTAAATCTTAAACGTTTTCACACGAAAGATACGCCTGTGCAACTTTTATTTTTCTATAATGAAATCCGATTCTGGAAGTAATAACAACAACAATAGCAAAATGGATTTTGATATATATCCTAGTATATCCGGCAAGCAACAGGACCCCGTACGCGAAGTTGTCATGAAATATATTGACTATTTTTTGCCAGAGTGAGTATATCATTGAGAATCAATCATTTAGTCGAATTGAGATCATACAAATGTACCACCTCCTAGTAATTGAGCATCTCAACTTTGCACCTTTGCTGTGGACCGACCCCATACCTTATTGAGATACCGGTAGTCGGTCATTGGTGATTAATATAAATAGATTGCTCATATTACACTTCTAGGCCGCTAATTACCTATATTCCATAAATACAAACAGAGCAGTTAGATACTCATCCGTACATCTCGTGTCACTGCTATTTATAGCACTTTTCAAATTTAAGAACTTTCAATTGGTGATTTACATAAGTCTGCTAAAATTAGTGCAGAATAAACATCAATTACTATAGTTGACACACTCTAGAATCACACGTTGTCGTAACTTGAAACCAGTTTAAAAGAATAATAATAATAAAACCACCTGAAACGGCACATGGGCAACCGTTGTTTATACAAGTATTCTACTGCCGTGTTAAAGGGCTTTTCTACTGGCACCAGCTGTCTACAAATACTGGTTATTACGCTTGAGAGTGGAACCGGAATAGCTCAGCTCCTGCAATCTTCTTTGGCAGCCGTCGTCGGCGAATACATTGACTGATAAATTTAATTTACTGCCTGTTGTAGCTCCTTGAGTTATTTTCTTTAAGACGTGAAATATAGATGTAATGGTTACCAATTTACATGGGCTTCTTGTCAAATGCATCATTCGCATTTTGATGAAACCTGCCAAGTTTACATGTTGAGCATTTTAAGGCTTCCTACATTGATGGCGTTAGTCGATGTTCTAAGTAGACAAACAATACCATTTATTGGTGATTTCATCATATTGAACTGCATCAGGAAATCATGTTAATTGAAACCAGGGAAATTGTTTCCAATACATTAAAATAAAATACATTTACCACTTGTTTCAAAAATGCACACCACAATATTTAAATACAACATCTTTAGATTCCCAGGCTCTGGCAGCAGCTAGCATATTGTTGTGTTTCAGGTGTATACTGCAAACAGGCACATACACGCTTTCAATGTGCTTATGGAGAGTTGTATATTAATGTATAATTTTTAAATTTAAGCTAAAACTAATTTTTAAATAAACATTTTTGTGATTGGTGCTCCCAAATTTACATACTATCTGTAACACCGTTTGTGGCTTTCCTTCTCGTTAAGCTGCTAACACATTTTCCTGCATACAAAGTAATCAAAACCATGCCAACCCAATTGAGTCTAAGGTACTTACAAGAAAAATGGAAAAAAGCACAAATCGAATAAATAAAAGCGTATTAAACTAACAGGCTTTTGAGGCGCAACCAGCGAAGTGACATCACTGATATTTTTAAAACAACGACGCAGCACGCAACTGAACTCTAATAAACTTTGCACTTTTTCTGCCGTTTGCGTCGTACTAAGTGTATTTTTTGTAGAATTTTGTGTTGTCGTGCTGCTGTATGTTTTGTTCCAAGCAAAATAAATATCTTACATTCTTCTGCTATCAGCAGGCTGGCAAATGTGTACAAATAGTACTACATACATACATATATAATGTACATTTCGTTGCACACATTTATTAAACTCTGTACATAAAATGTACAAGAGTACAAGTATATTAGGTTTGCGGGAGCTGAAAATGTAACAGGCAGAAGGAGGCGTGGCAGACCCCACAAAGTATATATATTCTTGATCAGCATGTCGACCAGTCGATCTAACCCTGTCTGTCTGTCCGTATGAACACCTGGATCTCAGAGACTATAAGAGGTAGAGACACCAAGCTTTGCACAAAGTTTGTTTTATTTTTTTTTTTTATTTCTTATAACTTTTGTAATATTTCAACTACTATGCCGAGAGCTTATAACCACAAACGTTTGTTCCTTAATATTTATTTCCTACTTAGGGTTTTCCAACTTCAAAGGCTTTATTATAACTTTTGTAATATTTCAACTACTATGCCTAGAGCTTATAACCACAACAGTTTGTTCCTCAATACGTAGTTCTACTTTCAAAATTCTCGATCTGCCTAGGGCTAAGGGGAACTAGTACTACTACTACTACTTAATATATGAACTTTTTATATATATTATTCAAAATTAATATTAAAGAAGGAGGCATGATACTATTGGTAGTACTAAACTAGTACTACTAGGTAAAATCATGGCAACACCTTTGTGACTTTACCACATCTTCTGTAATTGAAAAACAAGTATGTTGATTATTATTAGGCAAGTTTCCGATTTCGTATTCGCAAATCTTATAGTCTTGGGACTGAATAACAACAAATGTTATATGTATTTCAAGTAAAATAAAGAAATGCAACACTTACTATAAGTAATGGAACTTGAAATTCCAATTACCAAACAAAAGATGTAGGAAAATATTTGAAATGGAACATGCCATTGTTCCACGCCTTTATAAAATGTTCAGAACTCCGGAACCGGCCGATACGCAGTATTGAGTGAAATGTCATTGGCAATACATTTCTGTTAATTTTTTAGACAAACGTACCTACTATACTATATGTGCGTGCACTTGTTTTGTCACAAAGGAAAATGTCGTCCCCAGCTCACAATAGGCACGCCATGAGTCATTGTACTAAGTTCGTCGGTGTTCAATGCTATAATGCAGTGACTCGAGTTTGCGTCCGAAGCTAGACATTTTTATTTAATTAAAATGACGTAAGTGTAGAGCCAGTAGGCATGGATTTGTAAGGCAAATCTATTTAGGATTTTCTTGCTAAGATCATTATAAATGATGCAATATAATTATATATTATAAATTTGTTCTTCATTTTTAACTTCAAGGAACGAAAAGTGATTTTAAAAATACTTCCGATTCTAAATTTGTTCCTTTTATTTCAGTGCATCTGGGACAAGTGCAGTTGCGATTGACAACAAAATCGAACAGGCTATGGTAAGTTTGAAGCCTTCCATTATTTTATTTATTTATTGGGAAAATATGTATACATATAAATTATAACCTGAGTTGATGTCCATCTGTCCGTGTGTAGGTATCTCAGCAGAATTTAGAGTAATTAAAGAATGCTCTCTGAATTTTAGAAGACAATAGATTGAAATGTTAATGTAATGGTTGGAAACACTCATTAAATACACAACTAGGAATATATATATATAAGTATATACGTATATAAGTATATATGTAAGGTGAGAGGAGAAATGAGTTTATAAAAAAAAAATAAAATAAATGATGCAGATGCAGACTCATAGTTTTATATAAAACAGTAATTATAATAAATTAAACTGGAAATTGCCTTTTAACTGAAATTAAAGAAGGTGTATAGATAGAATGAGACATCGAGAGAGAATTCTAAAGTGTGCACCTACGAACCTTAAGGTACTGTTACGGGGATAGGAGCTACACAGAGCGGCTTTAGTACAGTCTGTGACAAAGACTTAATCGGGCATTACGGGTATATAGTTAGGTGTACCATTTATGAGAAGCAAGGAAAGGTCAATTATTGAATCCAGAATGTCGCAGGTGAATATAAGAAGCGGGGAGATATGACATGAAAAATAAATTTAACATATTTAGTCCGTAGACTTGACTGCAATCAGTGTGCCCCAAGGACATCAACTGATGAACAACACTGATTCTGTCGGAGCTGTTGTCATTTCAAATGTTTCAGTCAACACCATTTTAAGAGATCTTTTGTGCCTCGAAAAATACAAATCTCTTTTGGTTCCACAAACAACACACTCGTTCTTCGCGACATATCCACAACCACTCCAAAACGTTTGTCTGATTTAAATCGGTGTGTTTTCTGGTTTTTTGCTAAATTGAAAAAAACTTCTCCGAAAACAATATAGCAGCTAGGGGTGGCGAACTTATCTACATACATGTATAATCAAAGTAATATGATAAATTTCCATTTGTGCCAAAATGAAACTAAATGCTTAAGTAGCTTATTTTTTTTAATACAGATGTCTTAAATATGATATTTTTGAGTTTCACCGCAATCTGAACTATTATTGAAATGCTTAACCATGTCTTGTAGCTGTCATAGGAATAATATTATAATTGAATGCCTGTGGGGACGTATAGAGTGGTGCTAGGTATTTCTAACTCTTGTAATTCATGGAATTTCACACCCAAAATTTGATACTAAATTACATGCTGCTAGTGCTTAATTCTCTCCGGGTCAGCACGTTAAGACACAAAATCGAAGTCGGCTATATCCTAGCTTAAGTGTTGAATAAAACTTATACCGACTTTAGCAACTTTTTACTGGAGTCGAAGTCACTTGAGAGCTGCCAATGTTAAATTAAAAATTAAATTAATGGAAATGAACGGTTAGCGATGCAAAGCTCACCACTTGGCGATAGAAGTAAGCTCTTAACTACCGTAAGCAGAGCCGAAAGCAACAATAAAATTGTTGGGGAGCGGTACTTCGAACACAAAAAAGCTTGTGATAGCAAATCGAGCAGCTTAAAAGCCATAGGCAAAGACAAAATGTTCGGCACCAACGCCAAGATATTTAAATTACAAATGATAAACGCGATAAGAGGCGAGGATTTATTAAAGTAGCGTTAAATTAAGTCAAACTAACAATTTTTGGGTAGATTAAAAAAGCAACTTAAAAGCGGAGAAAAAAGTACAAGTAACCCGCCATTCACTGTCAACAGACTCTTCCCTTTTTCGCACTAAACTGTACAACTTTGGCGTTCGGGGTGTAATGCAAGCGTTATCAAATATCCTTGCATTCGGATTGACCGTGAAAAAGTTTGTTGATTTCTTTGGAATGAATCAGAGCATCGCCATATCGCAAAAGTTCATTACAACTCGAATTATCGCATTGTTCTCAGTCTGGGGTATATATTTTACAAAAATACAATGCTTAAATTACATATATACTACGGTTGACTAAATTATTTTACCCTTCCTTATCTTTTGGGTGCAGGGTAAAAATCATTGCAACCCGTTACAATCTAGACGAAAATCAATACTCTAAAAAACTGTTATTCAGAGCAGGCTCAACTATTCTCTATAAGCAGATTCAACTTGATTTCAATTGATGTGTTACGCACAAATAGGCGTGCCAATGAAAGGCATTTTATTTTTAGCTCCAATTATAAAATCAACGATATTCAACTTCCAGAACTATATACATACTATACTATATACGAGTATGTACATAGTTCAATTGAATTGAAACTAAAATCGTTATACATATAGACACAAATCCTATTGGTTGGTTCCATCGCGAGTCGATGGCTTAATGAGCCCCGGATGGTGGCCTACTATTGAGTCGCACGCCACCAGCACCACCAACGCCTATGATGGACATTTGGGTCAATTCCGTTGGCCGTCACTTTCTCTGTGCCTTTCTATGTATGAGCTCAGTAGTTTCATTTCTGTGTGAAAGCATCTTTTCAGCTACAATGTCTTCCACCTTTGTGCGCGCTCTCTCATTTTATTTGCAATGTTCCTCTTTAAACAACAGCACATCTGTGCTTCTGACCTTGGCAAAATTAAATGTTTTTTGTTTTTGTATTCTGCTGCTTCTATTATCAATTTGTTGTTTACAAAATGGCAGACTGCTTCGCTGGTGTGTGTGTGTTAATGTGTCCCTTATCGCTCACAAACACAAACAATGCTCTTTGAAATGCCATAAATTGTTGATTGTCAGTCCAGGGCGCAAAAAAATATCATTAACGCTTACATGCACATACACAAGTATTAACCATATGTACATGTATATCAAATAATAATGTATATATAATGAGCATATATGTACATACATATATGACAAAAAGTCAATTATTCAAAATCTAATTCCAATAATTGTTTTCGGCCTGTCTTCTGATTAATTGTTGCATACATATTATAAACAGATCTCCAAAACTTTCAAATCACATCAATTGAAGGCCAGAGGTTTCTAAAAATATAACGATCTTTGAGCTGGGGCGGCGCTTTAATTTCAATAACATGTACACACTACAAAGTTTTACTCTTTTAGAGGCACATATTTTTTACTTACTACATGGATGCTTTTGCATTTTTTCAAACATTTTCGCACATACATATTTTATAGTAATTATTAATTTTTTTTTCTTTTTACTAAATTCATTTTCACTTAATAAATAAATAGAAGTAAGAACTGGTTACAGTTGTAAGCAGGCTATGCTTAGTTGATGATATACGAGAAATATTTTGGATAGGTGCTGTGCACTTTTTCTAAGGTTTTTCCACTAAATATTCATTACGGTCTCTTTGAGCTCCAGTCTTCCCACTCTATCTTTTTCGGAAAAATTCTTAGTAGGAGTGAGTTTTTTTTGTTTCATTTTCATTAGCCTTTCTTTACACGTTTTGAGTACTATCCGGTCCAATAATGTCATATATGGAATTTTCACGGATCTGACGTTATTCCAAATAGCACACTCAGCGCAAACGCCAGCCTGAATTTATATTAAAACATTTCTACTGTTTGATCTTTGACCTCACTATTCAAAGACAGTTTTTTGCAGAAGGAAGCATCTCCGACCCCATAAAGTATATATATTCTCGATCAGCATGACGAAAGAAATCGATCTAGACATGTCCGTCCGTCTGTCTGTCTGGATGAACGCAAGGATCTCAGAAACTATAAAAGCTAGAATAAAAAAAGCTGGTATCCAAATTCTCCTAGGCCCGAGAAAGGACGAGTTTATTTAATTTTTTGGAATTTTTCCCCCCTTCCCCCGCTACAGAATTTCGTCAATAGCGTTCACATTTCAAATGCTACCTACCAAACTTTGCACACATAATTTATATATAATTATCTACTGTTGTTTAAAATTTTATCCAATTCGGTCAATTCTGAGAAAAGTTGATAGCGAAACAAATTCTCTACAGTACAACCCCTCCAAACTGCAGCAACAAGTTCGCTCAGTGACGGAAGTTTACCTGGGTACAGGGTATTACACTGTCGGGCTTGCTCGACTGTAGCGTTCTCTCTTGTTGCTTCTGCTGTGGGCGCATATAACTCAGTGACGGAAGTTTGTCTGGGTGCAGGGTATTTCACTGTCGGGCTTGCTCGACTGTAGCGTTCTCTCTTGTTTTGACGGGGTATACTTATAATTTATCTTAAGCGCCATATTTGAGGGGCTATTATGCGATTATAAAGCTAAACGATATCTTTCTCTATAGTAAATACCATTTATTGTTTATGTTGTTTTCAACTTTTCACTAATCTGTGAAAAATAACTTGACACTCCCCATCAAAACAACTACGGTAAATGTGGAGCCTAAATGATAAGATAAAAAAAGCTAGATTGTTTACCTTTTTGGGCGAGCTATTTCTGGTTTTTACGTAGATATTTGTTCAACTGTGTGGAACTAAAGCTGGAAAACACGAATCACATTGCAAACAAGTACGAATGAAATAAAATTTGTACTTTTGCCGGTAACCGAAAGAACACACAAATAATGGATTGGTTTATGTAATAGACAAGTGTTTTTCTAACCAATGGGAGTTTCTACAGTTATTTATATGTTTATGTGTATATCAGAATATAGGTATGTAGATAAATGTATGTAATAGAAATATCTGCATATTGCTCAAAATGTTATTAGTTTTTTTTTTGGACAAACAGTGGACTTCAACAGTTTTAAAGACATGTGCAGTCATGTTTCTGTAAATAGCACCCTCCTGAGTGCTTTCTGAGCTACTTTTGGCTAATACTTGCCCATTCGTTCGACGAATATTTTATAATATTACATACAAATACTTCTTATGCTAAAATGTGGATCGGACTAAATTACTAAACTGCACACTTTCAATCCCTTGAAAGGGATTCTGCTCATTTTAGATGTTTGCTTCTCCTAACTTTGTCTTCACCCTAACTTTTTACTTCAAAGCCTCAACCATTGTGAGCATTTGATTTTGAAAACCATGAATACTGAAGAAAACTAGG